ATATGAAATCAAACCAAACCAAATTCGTGAATAATAGTCGAAGAAAATGGTTATACGAAATTGTAAGAATAACTTCACACAAAATATACCACACACGCGTCATATGCATATCTCAACATATATGCAGGACATATCACACAAGTCATGCAATTCATGCTTTCAAGATAACTTACAAACACGTACAGACGTAAGCATGCATGTACATATCAGATCCAAATTATCCAAGCAAACTGCTCACGCCTTTTCATCAAGTGATGCATTGCCCAGAAAGTTATAATTTTAAATTTTATCTTTTCAAAAAGAAACAAGCAGTTGATTGACACCGCTCCACATGGATAATACCACAACATCATCCAACCCAATCATCAAGACTAAATCAGAGATTAAAGTCTTAATTGCATCAATTCTAGGCTTCACATCAAATACAACACCAAGCTTTAAACTCTCAATATGAGAATCGAGAACATTCATATTTCCGATTGTTCCATAGGGATAAAATTTCTATCTTTAGATTGTTGGAGCAATATTAGAAAATATGAAAATAACACAAGAATTCCAATGATAATAATCATAAAGAAAATAACAACATCAATAGTATACAAGATTAATATAAACAACTAGAGATAAAGTTAGAAAAACTGACAAACTTGGAGATTGAGGCTTGCATAAATGCAATGTCTTAAAGATAGAATTTCGCCCCTACTTTTGTGCTTGTAGTTTGATAGACGTCCATCTCTCAGGATTCAACAATCTATAATCCGAAGTTAAAGCACTTCAATCTTCGGATTCTGGCGAACTTTATATATTCCGTACTCTCAAGATACGACTCAGAATTTGACTCACAAAGCATGAGAGAAACAAAGTGGGGAAACCTGGCCTATTTCTTAAGAGTAAAAATTAACTCTAATTTTCTATCTTTAATACCAATAGTTTCATGGGTTTACATAGAATCCAATTTCTACTTATTAAAGAGATGTAACTTTTCATCTATAAGTATACATCACTTATCAAGGGAATACACCTAAACAACATAACCTTTCTAAAAAATTGGTTAACAATATTTTTCATTCAATTATTAAAATTATATATTATAATATTTCATATTATAATATATAATTTCCAACATTAGTAAACAAAACATACCTTCAGCACCTGCATATTCTTGTTTGAATTTTAATGAGGATTGTTGTGGACAAGAGATAGAAGAAACAAAACTTTTTAATCGTCACAACTTTTAACCGAAAACCCAGAAAATAACGGTCAAAATTTTAAAAAACCACTAACGTCTCTTTCGTCCCTTTTTTTTTTAAACGTTGTCGTTTTGAGTTGTAAACGGTGTCTTTACTTAAGTTCTTTCTGGGTTCGACAAAAGCTGGGAATTTAAATGGAAATTTGATCTTGAACAAGATTTATGATTTCAATGTTCTAAATTTCATCAGTGCTGATACCACCACATGTAAGATATACATATAAACATATATATCTCAATAATATTAAGCACAAGTCAGCCAATTGAATCACCATAAATCAAGAACAATCTAAATATTCGTCAACAAACACATCTATGGAAAGCTCATGTACTCGCAGAAACACCAACCTGCAGAACCTGACATGGAAGATGAAGCCATTGCAGCTTGTTAATCTAATAACCTTTTCCTCTTTAACAAACAAAAGTGCTCTCCAAACAATAGGTATTTGGAACAAAAGAAGAAGACTTTGCAAGAGCAGCGATTAAGATTATATATAGGGTCGTTCCAATCATTCCCCTATTAGAATTCTTATAGGACTTGAACAAGTAATCCATATGAACGTCAAGAAATAAAGTACAAAGATAAGTCCCATAACTATAAGGACTTGTACTTACAATCCTACAAGAAATAGAATTTCTCTAAGCTTATTGACAGGACTTTTCCATTCAAAAGATTTATACTATTCAGCTCTTAATGTTCAATTCATACTCATATTCTTACATTATTGCCATCCATGTCTTTCGGATCACTCCCAAAATTTACTTGCCATTGTCTTTGTTCTTTTACATTTTATTTGTTTAATGGTCAACCATTCACAAAAGATGCATAAGCACATTCTCAGTTTGGATTGTTTCACCATTAGGCCTATTTTTATTTTTGCACCTTTCTCACAAAATGACTTTTTTTTAAAGATTATTCTACTTACTCTCCATACGAGCGCCTGGATACTAATTAACGGTAATATAAAAATTCCACTGTCGGAGGCTCTCAAGTGTCAGACTGAAGTACAAAACAGATTGCAAGAGTGGATTTGGATCCTCTCCTAAGCTAATGGAGAGGATCCTCCTCATCAATCATCGTGGGCCATTAAATTTTTATCCAACGGTTACAACCATTATAACTTTAAAGGGACCCCCTGTTTGTAGCCGTTGGATAAAAATCCAGCGGTCCACGATGATTGATGAGAAGGATCCTCTCCATTAGCTCAGGAGAGGATCCAGATCCTGCAAGAGCAGCCTGAGGTAGGTTGCTTTGCTATTGTTTACAATGATTATGTTGGTTCAAATGGAGGTGATTTTGAAACAAGAAGCTTTCGTTTACAAGATACTACAACACTTGGATTACAACGACTTAACAATCTTTAAATGCTTATATTGATTTTTTTTTTTTTTTGGTTCACTATTCTATCTGAGAGAAGAAGTTGCTAAATGCTAATATATACTACATGTTCGCAAAATGAGAAAAAGATTTGGCTTTTGATCGTATACTTGAGTTTAATTTTTTTTCTTTGATAGAATGCATGTTTATTATTCAGAGTTTTATTTATTTATGCCCCATTTTTTATATAAGTTCCCTCAAATCTCTATCTATATTCATCTAACCAAATGCAAGTTTAGTACATATGACAATTCACTTACATCTCTATCTATATTACATCTATATTTCATATTTCATGATGTTTTTTGGCTTTCTCCTTGTGTTTTCAAGTTAAGCATACATTGAGGGGAACGGGTTTAAGCCAATAGAGTAAATTAATGAATCTACCAAACGGAAGCCTAACCTAGTTGATTGAAGGTCCCATGGTCTAGTTTCAATAGACAAACTGGTTTGGCTAGGTTCGAAGACAAAACACACATACCCATTCCTATGACGGAAAAAGTGTGTCGACTGCTGATGTTTGAAGCATACATTAGTTTAAAGGATATTTGGCCAAAGGTCAATAAAATCTTCACTAATTAGCCATATACCAATAGCCAATTTTATTTTTGGACATAATCAATGAATTATTTATAATAATTATGCATAGGTCAATGAAGCATGCCACATGAGTTTAAGCTAGTTATAAAATAACTATTATACTTTTCTCTCTTCACTTTTTTTTCATTCCTTATCTCCTCCACTCTCTCTTCCTTATTTACTTCATTATGTCCCAATTTTCTATCATGCCTCCCTCTTCCTTTCTTTCTCTTCACTCTCTCATTTGTATCTCTCCTCTCCCTACCTCCTTATCTTTCTCTCTCCTCCGTCAAACCCAAATAAATAGTTCATTTAATCCCAATGCTCTTAAACTTTCCCAATACCAAACACAATGTTGAGAGAAAAAAAGGGAATTCCAAAGAAATGTGCAACTATCAGTAGCAAAAACAAAACACAAGAAAAAATAAAGGACGTAATAGATATCCAGCAAACCTCCAAAGGCTTTGGATGTAGAGATTTTCTTAAGGGTATTGTCCATCAAAACCCTCTTGAATTAGAGGGGTGTTTGCAAAGAGTTTTCGATCTACAATCCAGAATTAGGAAACAGAAACATCGTGTGTTTGAATCTAAATGTAAAAGGAGTCATGTAATGTGTGCAACATAGGAGACAGAAAAAATAGAACCAGGAAACAAACATTGTAACACAATGTCTGAATCAAAATGTAAAAAAAAAAAAAAAAAAAAAAAAAAAAAAAAAAAAAAAAAAAAAAAAGGAACCAGGAAACGGACACTGCAATGCAATGTCTGAATCAAAATGTGAAAAATAGAACCAGGAAACGGACATTGCATTGCAGTGTCTGAATCCAAATGTAAAAACAATAAAAAAATTGAACTAGGAAATGGACACTGCATTACAGTGTCTGAATCCAAATGCAAAAATTAGGAGTTGTGTGAGGTGTGAAGAATAAGAGGCGTGTGAGTGATAAAAAAATAAAAATAAAAAAACAAAACCAGAAAACAGATAATGCAATGCAGCGTCTGAATCAAATAAAACAAGAACATGGGACTCCATAGGGTTGTGCATAAATTGATGTACCTTTAAGATATCGAATAATACTCTTTACTGCAATAACATGGGACTCATAGGGTTGTGCATAAATTGACAGGCTTCATTCACTGAGAAAACTATGTCAGGCCTTATGAATGTGAGGTATTATAGGGCTCAAACTACACTTCTATATTGATCAGGATTAGGCATGGAGTAGCATAGGGTTTACAATTCTACAAATCAACTCTGTCAACTAACTCATTCATATATTTTGACTACGTCACAAACAAGCCTTCTGATGTGTAGCTAATTTGCCGACCCAAAAAATAATGCAGATTGCCCAAATCTTTCATTCCAAATCTTTCATTTCTAAAGGTCTTTGCCTAAGTCAATCAAAGACAAAGTATGGAGTGCAAGTTCAATGCGAACAGATGCTCAAATGAGTTAGGGGTGAGGATTGGAGATCAGGAAGGACCAAAGAGTGATCGCTTCCGCTACCTAGGATTTATCTTGCAAAAGAATGGAGAGTTGGATGGAGACCTTAACCAAAGAATATATCTGGATAGATGAAGTGGAAGAGTGTATCGAGCGTGTTGTGCGACCATCGTATGCCACTAAAGCTCAAGGGAAATTGTAACAACCTACTCTCAAATTTAAGTGAAATTACGAATTTACCCTTATGTTGGTTTTTATCAATTTGGCCCAAATCTTTGGGCTGTGCTTCAACCAACCCAAAATCCAGCCCATTATTCCTTCCCTCTCCCGTGACTATCCCATCTCGAACACTTTCTCTCAACTCTCTCACAACACACCCTCACCATTTCTGCAAACACCCAACCTTTAGGCCCGAGAGCCTTCGCTATAACCATTTCCATTTCCCCAACAAATCGAACCTCAAATTCACATATCTGAGATCTCATCGAGTCGCCGATGGAACTTTGCCATTCCCACCTGAGAGCCTTGAGTCCTAAATCGAAACTAGGTAAAGTTCCCTGGTTTACTCTTCAAATATTTAGTTGTTTCTCACATCTGTGATGTTTTGGAATTGAGTTTTGGATCCTTTTATTGATGCATGTTTGTGTTCTGCAAATTTCCAGATCTTTTCGGCGAACCCGACGGCTTGCGAGTCAATTTCCTGCCAGTTTTGATCGGCCAACCCTCAAAATGCTAATTTCTTGTTCCCCTCTACTTTAGCTTTATTGTGGTTCAAAAATCACCTGAAATGGTGAAGATTTGACCCCAGATCGCAGCCCCAGGGAATTTCCGGGCGAAAACCCTTGATTTTCTGATTTTCTTCTTCGTGGGGTCGAGCGACCTGCGAGTGCAATCGGGTCGACCCAACCCACATCCATAATCCAGGCCCATAACCAAATTTGTTTTCAGCCCAATCCATCAACCCAATTAACCTGGTCCATTTCTTCAAGCCCAAAACCTTTAACCGATAAACGAGGCCCAAGTCTCTTGACCCACTAACTCCGGCCCAATCCCTCAATCCATTAGCCCAAGCCCAAAGACTCTCGGCCCAACCCAGCCAAACCAGTCCAACCCATCCGACCCAACCTGTTGACTTTGACGCTTTGACTCGATACATTGACTTTGACCCGTTGACCATTGACTTTCTAGTAAACGTTGATCGTTGACTAGTCAACGTTGACTTTTGGGTTGACTTTTTTGGGTTTCGATCGGGACATCTCTTAGACTAATTTCAACGTCCTAATTCCAAATCTACACTTCATTTTCACAAATTCAATCGCTTTGGTCGCATTTTATTAAATAGTCTCTATTTGTGTATAGGTGCAATGGTAGAAGATGATCCAGTCCTCCCTAGTTCGAGCGGCTCCCCGAGAGCGGAGTATTTGTGGGTGGACCCCTTCTTAAATGAATATTTTATAACTATCAGTCTAGCATGCATTCCTATTTCATGATTTGAATATGTTTTATATTATGTTTTGCTTTATGGATTTCTATATCATGATTTATTTAATTTACGTTTTATGAAACGTTATAAACTATTGGTTTTACACTTAGAAAAGGTTTACAACTATTTCTTTTATGCCTTATGAGATTTATGAATTTATGAAATATTATGGATTGGTGGTTTATGAGAATGATTTGAGTTAGAAGGCTGTCATGGTTTTACGGTTTATTTATGAGGCGATGTTTTGATGCTTTTAAGCTCTAGTGATTTGGCATGATTTCTGAGATATGTTTTCAATGATTATCTAGTGAGTTATCATATGGCACATGCACACAACACGGGTATAGTTTATGACCATAAGACACAGATAAGGATACTTATGTTATACGCCTAGCTTCGCTGGTGAAACTAATGTCGAACAGCTTCACTAGCCACGGCTAGTGTCGGTGTGTTTGCTATATATATAGATATATTCCTTTTCTGGCGTAACCCAAAGTCGTACAGCTTCACCTTCGGGTGATAGGGCCTACCATGTTTCTTCACTGGCATAACCCAGTGTCGTACAACTTCGCCTTCAGGTGATGGACACCTGCCTTCGGGCTACTATGATACCCCTAGAGAGTATAGTTTTTTATGGGATTTATGGATTTTCTTTCGGGCGTTTCGATCATGTTTTAGAGATGATTTTAAAAGTTACGAACATTTTCTGCATGCTAGAGCTTTCAGAAAAACCTATACGTAGTATTATATATGTTTTCAAAACAAAGGGTTATTATGTTCAGAAAGAATTCTAATTTTGAATATTATTAGTATAAATATAATTATGGTCCACTCAGCTTTTCTGTTTTGCGCCCCCTCAAGTCCTAGTGATGAGGAGTACGACCCGAGCATCGAGGCATTCCTTTACCAGTGACTTTGAGCTTTTCCGTTTGCGTATGATTTTCTTTGATGATTTGTTATCTGAATTCTTATTTGCACTTGTAGTTCGTGTAGTTGTATGCTCTGGACATAATCAGGTATCTTTTGTTTTAGATCTATGATCATTGAACTTTCCATTGCCCTTACGTTTAATTTAGAATCTTGTTATTGTTTATGACTTTTGGTATTCAGGTTCTTATATTTTCTTGTGTATGTATGAAATTATGGCTTTCGTCACTGTAGACATCAAAATTTCGGTGAAATGAATGTTGACCAATAATTAAAATTTCAACGCTCACGTATCACATAAATTTTACATGTAGCGTGTGACTCAACGAAAAATCGAAATAAATTAGAAAAGTCATCAAATAGGACACGTGTCAATACCTGGCAGAAATGATTTATTTCATCTGATTATTTAAATCCAAAAATCAAGTTTTGGAATTCTATAAATAGGAGGCCAAAGGCATTCATTTGGGGAGAGAAAGAAAAGAAGGAGAAGGAGAAGGAGAAAGGAAAAGAAGAAAAGAAGGAAGGAAGAAAGAAAGAAGCCTTGAAACTCTAAAGCTCTCAAGCAAATCCCGAAGGATCAAGAAAGCAATCTTCGTTCTTCGTCAAATCCACCTTCAAGATCAAGCCCCGACGGCCCTTGAAGAACTTCCACCAACTCAAGATCAAGCCCCGACGGCCCTTGAGGAAAGTGTTCATCATCCACACATCCGTTCATCCTTCAAGATTAAGCCCAAAAGCCCTTGAAGATCCGTTCATCCTAAGATCAAGCCCCAACGGCCCCTTTGGATCAACAAATCCACACATCCGTTCATCGTTCATCATCCGTTCAACCTTCAAGATCAAGCCCCAACGGCCCTTGAAGATTCATTCATCATCCGTTCATCCTTCAAGATCAAGCCCCAACGCCCTTGAAGAACTTCCACCAACTCAAGATCAAGCCCCGACGGCCCTTGAAGAAAGTGTTCATCGTTCATCATCCGTTCATCCTAAGATCAAGCCCCAACGGCCACTTTGGATCAACAACCTCAACAAATCCTCACATCCAACCAACCTTCAAGATCAAGCCCAAAAGCCCTTGAAGATCCGCTCATCCACCAACCTTCAAGATCAAGCCCAACGGCCTTTGAAGAACTTCCACCAATTCAAGATCAAGCCCCAACGGCCCTTGAAGAACTCCCACCAACTCAAGATCAAGCCCCGACGGCCCCTTGAAGAAAGTGTTCATCATTCATCAACTGTTCATCCTAAGATCAAGCCCCGACGGCCCTTTGGATCAACAATTCATCCACAAACGTACACCCTTCGAAGATAGAATCAGAGGACCAAATTACAAAGAGATTGTAACCCCAAAATCATTAATACAAAAAATATATTTTGTACACGTATTCTTGTCGCTTGTTTCAGGAATTTCTCGTGTTTACAAATTTGGCACGCCCAGTGGGACAATCTCTACCTCTCATCTCTATCCTCAAATCATCAAAAACGCAAATGGCATCAAGAAAGGATCAAGCTGTTCCTGCAATCAAAGCAAAGAACAAGAACATCATCGCCGCAAGTGGTGATATTTCGGGCATCATAACCCGAAGTAAGGCAAGAGATCTTTTTGCCGCGGCTTCCGCCCCTGCATTAACTCTGTCAAAGGAACAAGAGCACCTGAGGTACGAGCCTGTGATCACCCTAGCCTCGCTAAGGGCATCAAAAGGGGAGAGCCCAAGGAAATATTCAGAGTCCCTACTCTCCGACGCTGATTCGAGCGGCAGTACAACCATGCAAGTCATGACCACTGGAGCAACTTCAATCGAGGAGCAGCTAGCTCAGATGAATGAAGCAATCGCAAAGCTCACACGAAATGTGGAAGAGAAGGACTTGCAGATTGCCGCACTTGTCAACCAACTAGATGCGCTGCCCGACGTGAAAGTCGACCCAATTGTTGGCCTATTAAAGAAAGAAGATGACGAAGAAGAGGAGCCACCAGCGGAGAAAGTTGAAGAGAAGCCGAAGCTAGACCAAGCAACGGCATCCATGGGATCTCTCTCTATCCAGCAGCTACAGGAGATGATCGCAAGCACTATCAAGACACAGTACGAAGGAAGCTCGCATGACTCCGTACTGTACTCAAAGCCTTACTCCAAGAAGATTGATGCTTTGAAGATGCCAAGGGGTTATCAGCCCCCAAAATTCATGCAGTTCGATGGAAAAGGCAACCCGAAGCAACATGTCGCCCATTTCATTGAAACTTGCAACAATGCTGGGACAGAGGGAGACTACCTCGTCAAACAGTTCGTGCGTTCGCTGAAAAGTAACGCTTTTGACTGGTACACTGACCTCGAACCTGAGTCTATCAACAGTTGGGACCAGCTAGAAAGGGAATTCCTCAACCGTTTCTACAGCACTCGTCGTACTGTAAGCATGCTAGAGCTGACCAGCACGAAACAGTGGAAAGATGAACCTGTCGTCAACTACATAAATAGATGGCGTTCTTTAAGTCTGGATTGCAAAGATCGGCTTTCTGAAACCTCTGCCATTGAGATGTGCGTTCAAGGCATGCAGTGGGGACTACACTACATCCTTCAAGGCATCAAACCACGAACATTTGAGGAGTTAGCCACCCGCGCCCATGATATGGAGTTAAGCATCACCCGTCATGGGAAGAAAGAACAGATCGCCGACTACAAGAATGACAAAGTTTTGGGGCCAAAGGTGGATAAGGCTACGTGGAAACCCACCAAGGAAGCAATGACGGTCAACACAACTCCAGTCAAAATCCCTACACGAAGCAAGGCGATTCAAACCGAAGCTTTTCGTGATCAAGAGACACGTAGACGCACTTTGAAGGAGCTTGAGGAGAAAACTTATCCATTCCCCGACTCTGACGTGGTTGCCATGTTGAAAGACTTGCTTGACAAAAAGGTGATCGACCTACCTGAGTGCAAACGGCCAGAAGATATGAACCGTACTGACAATCCAAGGTACTGTAAATTCCACCGCTTCATTAGTCATCCGACGGAAAAGTGCTTTGTGCTAAAAGATCTCATCATGAAGTTGGCTCAGAAAGGGATCATCGAGCTAGATCTTAATGATGTGGTGAAGTCAAACTATACCACCGTCACTTCTGGCTCTTTGAACTCAAAATCTTCACCTCAACCGCTGGGGGCATGCTCCAAAACCATGTCAGTCAAGTCAAGTGAAGTTGAAGGATGGACTTATGTCACTCCAAAGAAAATGCACAAGAAACATAGGCCTCCTCCACAAGTTCGCCAATCGGAAAGGGGGCAAAGCAGCTACCGTCAACCTTCAAAGCTACATGAAAGTATTGAGGATGATGAAGTTATGACACAAAGATCGTCCGTTGCCATCACAATGCGCGATTTCTTCCCCAAAGACTTCTTCAATCACTCAGTCAAGACTCCTTGCTATGAAGATCGCAAGGAATGCCCCTCTAAGATCATTTGACAAATTCACCAAAGCTCCTCGTTCGCACGAGCCTAAAAGGCGACAACCAAAGCTCCTTGTCCGCACGAGCATAAAAGGCGACAACAAACGCTCCTTGCCTGCATGAGCTGAAAATGCAAACGGCACCAAGACGCTCCTGGCCCGCAAGAGCATAAACTGTGTACGGCAAAATCATCATCAACATCATCATCAAAACCATCACTCATTTGAACTACGTTATGACTTGATCTCTTCTTTGGAAGAGTACGTAGGCAACTTGAAACTTCAAAACTTCAAGTACAGTCACATAAAAATAAATAAATAAACGTTTCATTAAAGAAAGTCAATTTTATTACAAAAGAAAAGAAAAAAAAAATACATATGTTACTATGTATTAGAAAAAATATATATATTCTCTATTCGAAAAAAAAAAAAAAAAAAAAAAAAAAAAAAAAGGAGGCCGGCTCCAAAACTTTCTACTCCTCTTTCCAAAGCCAGCGAGCCCAGCGACAAATCCGGGCCCAACTCTCAAAGCCCATCCTCACTCAGCTCCAAGCCCACCTCTCCTCTCTCTTTCTCTCGCACACACTTCACTTTTGGTTCCATTTCTTCACACCAGCGTGAACAACCACCACAGCAGCA